AAAAAAAAATTAATGATATTTTTCAAAAAATTTTAATGACACATCTCACGTATTAATTTGATGTATTTTTGAAAATTAATGAATTTTTTAAGTGTTTATTTTAAAATTTAAATCTTGAATTTGATATAAAAAATGAGATTAACTTACTAATCTATAAAAAAATCTATAATTAAGTTGAATATTTCCACACACATGTCCTGGCATCCTCATCACACAGTCACGAACTCGTGATAATTTATTGTTTACATAAATCAACTTTATCCTTCACCCAATCTCATGTCATGTGCATCCTCTTTGTTAAATATATAGCTATCCTCCATTCTTTACTACCCAACTGTTAAATTCACCGGTGGCAGATCCACCTCTTTTCAGATTGCAGGTTCAAGTTAATATGTAAACGTTACTACTAAGTGCCCTCTAAAAGAAACCGATAAAAAATTTTATTTTATAATTTAAATTATATTAAATTATAAAATAAAATTTATTAAATAAAAAATCTTTAATAATAGAGAACTTATTTTTATTCAATAATTAATGTAACTGCACTACACTTAAAAAAAAAAATCAATTAATTAGCGTAAAACTCTCTTCCTTTTTTTTTTTCTTTTCCAATAATCGTGGAGCTTAAGGTTAATCGAGCCATTAGTTTGAACCACGCGCTTCAGACTAGCGTTGTAGTAAACGAGTTTTTTTGGAGCCAGAATTGAAGAACAAACCCACGTGAGGGAAACACTGCACATGTCCGTACATTCGAGAAGAGGGTGATCCGTGATCTGGACGCCGGTTTCAGATATATCCATGTATCCGCAACCCGGATCGGTGCATCACAGTCGCTCCGGTGCCGACTGGCTCTCCGCTCACGATGGTAGAGTCCCTTGTACATATGGTTCTCCTTTGAACATGCGTGCGCCGCTGGCTTTTAAAGGACGTAATTTTTTATCTTTCTCTTAAAAAGGATATGATTTTTTTTATTTTTTTTTTTTGAGGTTGGTGGCACTATAGGTGATAAACCTTTATTATCTCTGTATCATATTTTATCTGTATGTTGGTCTGAAATTAAAATTTTTTATTTTCATAAAAAAATTATTATTAAATTATTTAGATTAACAATTAAAAAAATGATAATTAAGAAGTCATCGGACTATATTTATTTTAAAACATAACAATATAGTAAGCTGTTTGATATATATATATTTTTTAATTTTAAAATAATATTTTTTATTTCAAAAAATTATTTTTTAATTTATTTTAAATTAATTATTATTTGTTTTATTAGTTCTATCATTATTTATTTATTTTGATTAATTATTTTATTACAAAAAATTTTATTTTATCCTTTAACTTTTTTTAAAAAAATAATACAAGTAAATATATAAATAGTTTTAAACCCTTAATTTAGAGAAAAAAAATTAAAACACAACAATTATTATGAGATTGAAAGAGCAGATTATTTTTATTTTTATTTTATGATTAAAAATTTAAGGATAATGTTTATTTTTATTTATTTTATTTATTCTTGTATAAAGAAATAAAAATAGAGAGACATTCTTATGACAAGATGGATAATTAAAATTAAAGGATAATTATAAAGTTAAAGTAAGAAAAAATGTCTCCCTAAAATACGAGAAAATGACTATTATTTTAAAACAAATTCTAAATAAAAATGTCTATTATTCTTAGACAAAAAAAGCATTTTTTACATAATTGTAGATGATATTGTTATATATTTTTTATTTGAATAATAAATGTTTTTTTTATAAAATTAAACTATTCAATAAGAATCACTATAACAAAAAATGAGAATTTTAATTATTAGTCCTATATTATAAAAGTAATGCCTAAGAATGCATGTAAAAAAAATTAAAGACTTGTAGTATGTTTTAAAATAAAGAGAGCACTAACATAACTTAAGTAAGCTTTATATAATATTATTTTATCTTATAGCTGTAATTGAACTTTAATAACAAGACTTCTTAATTTTTTTTTTATCATTTTTCTCTTTTTTGAGTGTCTATTTTATTTTTGCATATAAAAAGATTAAGGAAGTGAAGTTTATATATAGGTGGCCAACTTAAGGGTATTCTTGATTTGAGGAAAATAGAAATAGGAGATGCGAATAAAAAGATATTATATTTTTCTATTTTTTTTTCTCTCTCATAATTTAGAGAAGTAAATAAATTTAAAAAATAAAATAAATATTTTCTTTCCTCTCTCTTCTAATTTTTTTTATAACTAAATAAAAAAATTTTTTATTTCCTCTTCATCCCCAACTAAACATACCCTAACAAATTAAGGAGTGGCTGGTCAATGGTGGAACCGAGTAATGTCATAATTAAAATTTATCTTCTTATTAGCCTTTTGCATAATTAGTTTGACTATTTAGAGTCAGTATTCATCTTCTTCACCCATTTTATTACTTTATTTCAAGAAAAAAAAATAAAAAAAGGGGGCCGGGGAAATATCATGGTGGTTTTTAATAATATTTTTGAGTTGAGAGGAACAGAGAGAACACAAAGGAAGGGAAAATATCTTTTTATTTGATTATAATTTGATTATAAAAAAAATATAAAGGAGAGGGGAAGAGGGGGAGAAAAAATTTTCTTTACTTTATTTTTTGTTAATTTAATTATTTATGCAAACAGGATAAAGGAAGAAGAAGGGAATAAAGAGGTATAATTTTTCCCATCTCCTTTTTCCTCTCCTCCATCTCCTTAGATTCAAATATAAAATAAAATTCAAGAATTGAATAAGGTTATAGACATCATTAATTTTATTAAAGTTATTAATTTTATTTATAATTTTATTAGTTTATAATTTTTAAAATAATTAGTTATGATATTTGAAATATCTATTTATAAATTAATTTTAATATATTAAATAATTATTATTAATTATAATAATTAAATTAAAATAAAATTTTTATAATTTTGATGACCTATCAAAATCGGTGCCGACAATAACCACATCCCTGATTGCTTGTAAAGAGAAACAAAATGAGGTCAAATCATTGGTGGGTTGTGCAAGATATAAGGACAAGCACGTAGCAAATACTTTTGTGGGGGGAGTTCAATGAGCTTATTGATTTCTTTTTGTTCTTATTTTCCTTGTTCCCAAACTTCCATATGGCTCAATTATGATGCATCATCACACTCTCGTTGGCATAAAACTTACCCCAAATTATTCGGCTTAGATAAAGACAACAAACAAGCTCACATCCTCCAATTAATTAGAGTGTATGATTGTATGTTTTGTAATATAAATTATAAAATAAAAATTATTATTAAATATAAAAATGATAATTTTTAATATTAAAAAAATTTATTTTTATTTGATAATTTAAATTATATAATTCAATACAACTTAAATACACAACATTCTTTAGTAATCATATAATGTTATAAGATGATACGACCGTCCCTTCAACTGGAAGCTTTGTACATCAAACTGGATTCCAATATACAAAGTGTCTGACCCTTAGTATATGTGAAAGATTTAGGATTAATTTAGGGATTTGGTTTGTCCGACGTGCATGTGATGTTGAGATTATTTTACTTAATCTCGGTTTAGCTTCCATATCTCTAGTGTTTTACCTTGCAAAACGCGGGTTTGTCTCTTATATCAATATTATATAAAATATCATATTTTTATATTGGGGGCACAAAAAGAGATATTTCACACGCAGATCTTAATTTTAAAAAAAAAAAAAAAACAACAAAATAATTAAAATAATTAAAATAAAAAAAAACCTAAAAAAAACCTGCCAATAAAAGGAATTTCAACATAATATACTAAAATAGTTGACCCACGAGCTTACACATAACAAAAAAATCAGACGAACCTCCTTGTCCTAGATAATTTGTTTTTGGATCAAATCTGCCCGATGTTTGGACCCAATTTCCCTGGACTGTAATGGAGGTTTGATCATACAAGCTAAGGGCCTAATCGCACAAACTAGGCCCAATAAAACAAAACACTGGTTATTACTGGGGTCTGGGCTTACCAAATGATGGACCATTTTTTTTTTCCCGAGAAGACAATAGTGGGCCGTCTCTAGATCTTATCCAAATAATATCTTCTAAACATTCGTGGCAGAACTTGGGACGTTAAAAGGATGTTAGTGATGAAATGGCCTCCCTGCCGCCCTTGATTTGTAGGAAAATTTGAGAACTTTCTAGAACATTTTTTATTTGTGACAAGTGGTGGATGCTTCTTTAAGTATAGAGAAAAGCTAACACACGCAGACGGTATCTAGAACTTTCTGCTCAACCGCCATATAGTCTCGTTTCTCTCTCCTCAATTAAGGCGAAAAAATCTCAAAGTCCCAATCTTTCTTCATTCAACTCCAAAATCGAAGAACAAGCTCTCAAATTCCACGAAACCCAGTAATCAGAGCTCTCGAATGGTCTGAAATTTCTGTAGAAATTGCGCCATTGCTGTTTCTGTTTCTTTCGAGGTAATTAAGGAAACATGGAAAAAGTGGTAGTGAAAGAGGAGGAGACGTTCAAGTGCGCGGCGGCAGGTGCTGGTGGTTCGTCGTCATCGTCGTCTTCGTCTTCAAGCATGACACCACAGCCAATGGAGGGGTTACACGAGGTGGGTCCGCCGCCGTTCCTCACCAAGACCTTCGAAATGGTGGAGGACCCGTCGACGGATTCGGTGGTCTCGTGGAGTAAAGCTCGCAATAGCTTCGTTGTTTGGGATTCTCACAAGTTCTCCACCACTCTGCTTCCTCGGTACTTCAAGCACAGTAATTTCTCCAGCTTCATTCGTCAGCTCAATACCTATGTAAGTACTCATAGCAGTATATTGTTTTTTCAGTTTCTCTAATGGATAAGATCATGGGTGTTATGATGATTTTGGTGGATTTTTTGTTGTTTGAATTGAGTCATGATTCTTGTCCTATATTTCATCATTGTCCTGCTTTTTTGGTTCCTAGGATTCAGAGTGTTCTGTCGCTTGGGGAATCAGAATTTAGAATTTAGTCAAGATTTATGCTTCGTGGGGTTTGATGTGTTTAGATCGGTAAAAATTTGAATTTTCTCCTTCCATTAATATTTGAATTTGATCATGACCTGGGTTTTAGTTGATGAGTCCTTCTTTCCTCTGCTTACTGTGTATGATTTTTTGTGGTTGAATATTTTGAATTTAGGGGTTGATGTTATTTTAGTCTTCTCCTTTTTCTTATTCTTTAGTCCTAGCCTCAGAATTGAGTCCTAATCTCCTTATGCAATCCGGTAACAGGGTTTTAGAAAGGTTGATCCAGACCGGTGGGAATTTGCAAATGAAGGCTTCCTGGCGGGGCAGAAGCATCTACTGAAGACGATCAAGAGGAAAAGACATGTCTCACAGAGCACACAGCAGCAAGGATCAGGAGCTTGTGTTGAGTTGGGACAGTATGGTCTGAAAGGTGAGCTTGAAACATTGAATAGAGACCGGAATCTGTTAATGGCAGAAATTGTGAAGCTGAGGCAGCAACAGCAGCATTCGAGAGAACTTCTTGTTGCAATGGAGGATAGATTACTTAACACTGAGAGGAAGCAGCAGAAGATGATGGCATTCCTTGCTAAAGCTATCAATAACCCAACTTTTATCCAACAATTTGCACAGAAGAATATGCAGGGAAGACAACCTGGAGGCATTGAAATAGGGAGAAAGAGGAGACTGACAGCCAGTCCTAGCATAGAGAATTTGCAAGAAGCAGTTCCTGCAGCAGTAGATACTGGACAAATTGTTGATTTCCCAGATCAAGAGCCGGAAGAATTGGCAACTATACAATCTGAGATGGAAACACTCTTCTCTTCTGCCTTGGATAACGCATCAAGCAGTAAGGAACCAATAACAAGTTCAATGCCAGCGACAACTAGTGGGAATTTGGATGCTGTTAATGAGACAATATGGGAGGAATTTATAAATGAAGACCTCATGGCTGGCGATCCAGAGGAGGAAGTAGTGGTGGGTGATCAATCAGAAGTTGATGTTAAGGTGGAGGACTTAGTCGCAAATCCTGTGGATTGGGATGATGACTTGCAAGACTTGTGGACCAAATGGGATATCTAAGGTCAAAGCCATGATGATTTTTGTAGACTGAGTTGGTTTCTGCAACTTCATTCCCAGTTGTTGGATTGGTATGCATATAAACTCTATGATGCCAGTCATGTTGCCCCTATTTTTGTTGTTTGTGACTGATAGGACTACATGGGTTTCTCACACAGCAGGGGATGATGGAAGTTGCAAAGAGGCCAACGGATTTTCCTATTTTTCTGTATCCTTTAAGAACAGTCTAGTTCTCTGACTTTCTAGAAGTACATTCTTATCTACTTTTGAATGCTCTCCTACTGGTTTTTGATGTTTGTTGCTTACTTTGGTATTGCAGGCCCACACCCTACAGGAGATCTTTGAGGAGGTGCATCAATCCTTAAATTTTGTCAGAGGTTTTGTTATTTGATCTCTGCTTCCTGTACATGTTAGCTCTCTGAACCTTTCATCTTGATTTTCATTATAGTTTTTTGTCATATAATTAAATCATCGGTTATTCATGCATATGATTGTAACAAGGGATGAAATAGATGATGTTCTTTTGAAGGAAAGAAAAGGTTGCAATATTTCATCTGGTTTTCTCCATAAGTCATTACTCGTTACTACTTCGATGAAAACATACAGCACCTGGTTTCTGTCTCATCCTAAGGAATGCCATCAATCATAGAAAAAATGAATGTTCTCAGTCTCCAGATGAATAAACAAGGAATCCTTTGTGCTTCTGAAAACAAGAATAACACCCCAACATTAGGATTTAGTTTGTTGATGAGCTTATCAGCTTTGGAATGATAACCAAAAGTTCACACAGGATTCGCCTAAAGGCTTGGTCTGTGACCGCGGAGTCAACCGATAGTGTTGGTTGAAAAAGAAATTAACTTAGGAGAAGTCTTTGTCCATTATTTTTGGGTAAATTGTGAATTCTATTACCAGAAGAATCACAAATATACTGAGCAGCACCTTTTTTAAGCTACTACCAGTTCAATAGACTATGTCCAGAAACAATGACATAATGTACACTAAAACATTAGAAATCCAGCATCAAAACTTCAGCCTTTGCAAAGAGAAGCTCCAACCCCATATGGAAGCAATGCTTATTAGAATAGGATATGCCTTTTCCTTGGCAAAGCCAACCATTCTATCACGGACATCTGCTTGAATTCTGTTTACTATTGCAGAAAATTCTTGTCCATTAAGAGCCATTTTCTTTCTGTATTTTTTTTTTTAACCTCGTTACGTAACCAAGTGATGCTCTATAAAATGGGATTCGAAGATTGTTGGAGCTATGGCATGAAAGCTGAAAATGAAATCAAATGCGAGCTGCTGAATGATGCTGCAACATGACTGCACAGTAGCAGCAAAGTGACAGCAGCATGGAGCTGCACACAGGTTACAAGAAATGGCGGCAAACTTCATCATCTTAGTCAAAGTTTTAGGTAGTTAATAATTATTGTATTAGGTAAAAAGATATTATGATTTTATGTGTAGCCTTCCTCTATAAAAAGGAAGGAAGAAATTGAATGAAAATTGAGAAAGAGAAAGTATGGTTTCTTCTCTCTGGTTTGGTGAATGTCTGTACCCTTCCATGTTTATGGCTTTATATTCTATGTTATATTGTGTTGTCTCTGTTATAAATAGCAAAATATCAATGGAAGAAAATGGATTCTTACTTTACCAAAAGAGGGAACTCTGGGTCTCTTTCCTCCTCCAAGTCCTCTCTCAACCCCTTCTTACCACAAAATTCTAACAAAAGTCCATTAACCATCAACGGAAAGAAAAGGTTCTTCTGAGTTCTGATGATTTGATCTCAAATGGATTGATTTATCTGGAAAGACCTAGAAGAAGGCCATCGTACCTTCCAAACAATAAAACAATACTTTGGGGAGAGAGTGAAGAGCGTTTTAAGTTACCATTACCATCATCATCATATCAAACACAACGACAAAGACTCGGTGCCCATAAAGATGCCTACTAAGATGCTCACTTTCCCAGTATCAATCCTTACTAAAGCCATTCTAAACTTCAGCAAGAACTAAAACTCTTTTTTCTCCATGGCTGATCTTCAAACACTAATGGGCCTAGAGATGGGGTGATTCTTCAACAGTGTCCCTATGGTGTTCATACCGTTTTTAATCTTCACAGTTTTGGCCTTGAGAGCAGTGGCCTACCTCTTTGGACCCTACTGGGAGTGGGAGGTCAGAAAGGTCCCTGGTCCTCCAACAATCCCTCTGCTAGGACACCTGCCTTTGATGGCTAAGTATGGTCCTGATGTGTTCTCCATCCTTGCCAAACAATATGGCCCTGTTTTCAGGTTACCTTCCGGAGCTTTTTCTTCAGCAAAATCATGGACTTCGTTGAATTCTGACGCAGGGGCCTTTATTTTTTTTAATCTGCATTCTGGTGCAGGTTTCCTATGGGAAGGCAGCCTTTTATAATTGTAGCAGATCCAGAGCTTTGTAAAGAAGTTGGCATAAAGAAATTCCAAGACTTCCCTAACAGATGCCTTCCTTCTCCTATCAAAGCTTTCCCTCTTCATCAAAAAGGTCTCTTTTCCACCAGGTGAATTCAATACCCTTTTTCTTTTTTTCAGAAATAGATCATAGACCTCAGGATTTCATTAAAAGAGAAATTAGAAGTAGATTATAAAGGGAGCAAGCCATGCTTTGAGAAACCGGTAAAGCTTGATGATTTTCCCTTCTTTTCTTGTTCTAGAACCTGCTTTGGAACCCAGAAATCTCTCTCCCCTGCAGGAGCTTCCGGATCTGCTCTGTTCTTCCTCCCCTGTCCGCCGGCTGCTCTTGCTTGCGGGGGTGATTTGCTCCGATTTTGGGTAAGAAACAGCCATGGGTCTCCTCCTTTTAGCCTTAAACTAACTTGGGTTACTCTAATTTGTGCTTTTGGTTCTTGAATTTTGGGTAGCCCGTGAGTTTCTCCCCTGCACTGCCGCCGGC